TAATATGAGCAAACACACAGTCATATTGATATCACCTCTTCTACTCAACCCACACTTCCCCCCACCCCCCAACTCACTTTTTTCACTTCACAACATATCCTGGAGATCACCTATAGCCTTATAGAGATTCCTCATTCTTTTTCACAACTGCATAGTATTCATGAGCGTGGATGTACCAAAGTTTATCCAGCCAGCCCCGTATTGAGATACATATGAGTTATTTCCAGTTTTTTGTTTTTTTAAGAAGCCGTACTGCTTTCAATAGCCTTGTCCTTATATCTTTTGAAAATTTGCCTGTGTAACTTTAGAATAAATTCCTCAAAGTGGGGTTGCTGGGTCATGCATACTGCTAAGTAAAGATGCATGTTATTTTGCATGATGTCACCAAAAGCTCACCAGCGAGATTGTGCCATTTTGCATTTCTGTCTGCAGCATATAGAGCATCTAATGTCCCCACAGCCACCTAACAGAGTGTGCTGGCAAACTTTCGTCAATCTGATAGGTAAGAAACGGTGTCAGTGCAATTTTAATTTGCTTTTCTCATGTTTGAGCAAGATCGAAAGGCCATTTCCTTTTCCTTTTTATGTACTCTGTTCACTTCTCTTGCCTACTTTACTGTAGAACTGTTGGCCTTTCTCATCTGTTTGTAGAAGTTGTCTGTATTTTAGGGAGAGTGATCTTTGCCTCTAATAAAAGTCACCAATATTTATTCCAGTTTGTCATTTGTCTTTTTACTTTACTTATGGTGTTTCCTGCCATCCAAAAGTGCTTTATTATTGTTACTGTTATTTTCATGTAGTCAAACTTACCAGTCTTTTCTCTTACTGCGTCTGGCTTGGGAGTCATAGCTGGGAAAGTCTTCCCCAGTCTCAGGTTAAAGAGAAATTCAATCATGTTTTCTTCTCATATTTCTTATGGTTTCTTTCTTTTTTTTAACTTAAATTTCTGATTTTTTTTAATTTATCAACAAATGTATCAGTCTGACATATTTTATCCTATGTAATTGGCTTCTTCTACTTGGATGAGTTTAAACTGCAGAGACTGGCCCTCAGCCAGCCCCCAGGCCCTCTGCCCCCCTCAGCAGGCCTTGATGCATCTTTGCGTTTGCAGAGACCATTGTGTTTACTTTGGGGAGGAGGGAGCTGAAGTTTGAGGTGAAGGGACTTGCCCAAGGACACATGGGCCATCCTCGGACTCTAGCTCTGCTGGCTCCGGGAAGAGAAAACCATGAGCGTCCTCCACCATGGGGCAGGCATGTAGCTGGCATGTCACCTCTGCTCAGTCCCTAAGAGGCAGGCCTTGTTCTTATCCCCACTTTACAGGTGTGGAGACTGAGGCACAGAGGCAAGCGACTTGCCCAAGTCACGCAGCCAGTAATAGGCTGTCAGGCTTCAATACCAGTCTGTCTGCCTGGGGGCTTAGAGCCTCCCACTGTGCTCCTGCCCAGCTTGTCCAAGAGCCGGGAGCATCCCCTGCCCCCCCATACACCCCCTCCTCCCACCACACCTGTGACTGGAAGTCTGTGGTGATGCCACATCGAGTTCAGACTCCCTCTGCCCACCCACCCCCATGGCCTTGGGGCTCCCTGAGGGGTCCAGTTTCCTGTGTCTCCATGTCAGGGCCATGGGAAGTACCTGTGGATAAGCATCATCTCCTTGAGGGGTCCTTGTAGAGCGAGGGGCACAGCTGGTGTGTCTGGCCTCAGCCCCTAATGTTGGGATGTTATGGGGACCCAGGCCTGTGGTTGTTACTTTCCATAGTTGTGGTCCTTTGTTCCTTGCCCATTCATTATCTACCCAGCCCTTAATTCAACCATCCTTACAGAGCGCTGGTGGCGCAGTGGTTAAGTGCTTGACTGCTAACTGAGGGTTGGTGGTTTGAACCCACCAGCCACTCAGCAGGAGAAGGATGTGGCAGTCTCCTTCTGTAAAGATGACAGCCTTGGAAATCCTATGGGGCAGTTATACCCATCCTGTAGGGTCGCTATGAGTCGGAATCAACTCGATGGCAGTAGGTTTGGTTCTGGGTTTTTTTTTTTCCTGATGCCTACAGTGTCCAGCCTGGGTGCTCGCCAGGGGTGACCCAGAAATGTGGGAGGCAGCATGCAGGGAAGAGAGGTGGCGAGGTGGCCGGCTGAGGGAACACAGGATCCCCTGGGGGCCACAGCAGTGATCCCTCCTCTTTTCCTCTAGGTTTGGGTGGGGTGAGGGGTTGCTGGGCGCCCCACCCTCAGGCCCCTCTTTCTAAGGCCCGGCAGTACTTAGAGGCTCAGCTGTGGTCTAGTCGAGGCGTGCTGGGGCTGTCCCACGGCCACACAGTAAGTCAGCCAGACCGGCCCCTGCCTCAGCCCCACGCACGTGGAAGTGGCAGGGACCCGAGGAAGGGAGGTTCTGCCTTCAGACAAATCAGAGCAGCCCAGAGTTCTCGGGGCTGCCGGAGGACCGAGTGGCGGCAGAGTTTAGGGGTATCAGGTGTGTGTCATGGCGCATGTCCTGCACTTTCCCACAGCTGGAGACCTTTGGCCCCTGTCTGCTCACCTAACAGAGGCCCAGCTGCCAGAAGAGCCCCATGGAGGCTCACTGTCAGATCCAGCTAGTTAGGGCTGGCAGTGCCATCCCCCACCCCTGGGACGGGATGCGCCAGCTGTCAGTGTAATTAAGGTTGTCATAAAACTCACCAGCTAGACACGCAAACCACTCCTCCACTCTTCCCTGGGTCTGCACCGTGGTGAAGGCGAGTAAATCACGCTCTGCAGCTGCCTCAAAAGTCGGCCTCCCACTTAGCGCGCGCTATTGGACGGATTGCCCGTCACACGGCTGGTTTCCCGGCCGTTCGCTTTTATGACGCCCTGATGAGCCGGCCGTTCCATCCGTTCTCAGAAAACGTACAGAACCATGGCTCCTGCTTGCCTCGAGAGTCTGTCTTGGGAAGCAGGCCCAGCTGTGGTCAGGTGCCTCTGCTGCTCGCAGGTGTGGCACCTGGCACGTGGCTTCTCGGGCCGTCAGCCCCCTCTATGAGGAGCCCCTTGCACCGTGAGACAGTGTGTGTAAACCCCAGCCAGGGGCTCAGCAGATGGCCGGGACCCTTATCCTCCTCCATCCCTCCCTGGGTCTGCGGGTTTCCTGAGCCCTGCTGGGGCCCTGGCCCTGCCCATGGGGCCCACAGCCCTGCCAGGGGGCTGGGACCTGCCCGTGGGGCCCACAGCCCTGCTGGGGGGCTGGGGCCTGCCTGTGGGACCTGCCTGTGCACAGGTGCCCATTGCCAGCCAGCCTCTGGGGGCTTGTGTATGCCCCCACCACCAAGGAGAAGCGCTCAGGGGACAGGTCACACCCAGGGACATGCTGGGCCAGACGTACTCCTCTCTCTTGGCGTTTGGTACCTGGCCACCTTTGGGCTCCCTGCTCCTCACCTGAACTGTGGGCAGAGAGGGCTTCAGGAGAAGGGGAGATGGGGTTCAGGCCCCGTGTGGTCTAGGTGCACGGAGGCCTCAGGTGGCTGGTTGGCGGTGGTCTAGTTAGGTGAGCCTGGGAAGGAGTGATGGATTTGGAGAGTTTGCTCCAGGCTGTGACGGGCGTTGCTCCCTCCCCTCCCTTCTACTCCTCTCCTCTTCCTCCTCCTGGCCCCTCCCCTCCTTCTGGTCCACACCAAAGTAGATTCCAGACACTGCCTTGGGGGTGAGTGGAAGTTGTGTGAACTCTGGTGCATAGAGCAGATGTTGGGGACTGTGGTGATGGGCCTGTCTGCTCCCAGTCCTTGGCTCCTGCCCCGGCTCCAGGGAGGCAGCCCCTCTGCCCAGCCCACACTGCTGCCTGTGCTCTCTGAGGCTCGGCCATGACCCAGTGGGGCAGAGCGGGCGCGGAGAGGAGGGTGGGTAGGCAGCCAGCACCAAGCTCCCATCCAGTGGGGGAGGTGGGCCCCAGGGAAGTAGCCGCGGTGCAGAGAGGCGCAGCCCTGTTGTTAGGATTCGGCTCCACCACACCCCCGCTGTGCCACCTTGGAGAAATCCCTGCATCTCTCAGAGCCTCAGTCTTCCTCATCTGGAGAACTGGAGAAGGGGGTCTCAAAACACCCCCACCTTAAATGAAGTTACGGAGTGCTGTATTTAATGCTCACCTCACTTAGGCACACTGGGAAGAGACTGATAGGGAATGGAAGTCTTACATCACGTGGTCACGTGCAAAGTTTGAAAGGATGTGAACTCCAGGGTTTTGTTTTTTTTTTTTCCATTTGTCAAGACTTGGCTCATTTCACAGCCAGCGGGACTGAGGGACTGAGGGCCGTGTGCATGCAGCTGCCACATGGTGGCGCCCCGGCCGCTGGTAGGCTGGCTGGCCCGTGACCCCGCCACTCCTGCACCCGGAGCTTCTGACACGGCCTGTTTTTCCACCATTGCAATTTAGTGTCACCCATGAGTTTGTTAAGTGGAGGTATCTGTTAGTCCTGGTACTGAAACCCCCCTTCCCAAAGCCAGCTATTTTGGAGTGAATGTTGGATGTGATAAAATGCCCCAGAGAAAGAAAAACAACTGCTTGGTACTTAACTGTGTTAGTTTACGAGACAAAAGGCTGTGAAATGTCAGTGATGATGCTAAAAAAATAAAGCGGCTTCAAAGCTGAAATACGCTCCTGTGGCTCCGCTTACAGTCTCCAAGGACACTTGCTCCCGGGATGACATGTATGCCTCTGGGGACAACAGGTCGGGACGCTGTGAGCTGTGAATTATGTGACATCTTCACAGCCAGGACTTATGGGTGTCATTATGCACTTAGGTCCCCCTGGGCAGGGCGTGGGCCTCTCTTAGTGCACTCCTCAGCTCCTTGCATCTCAAGGGGCCCAGGTGCCAATAGAGGTGCGGGGGCTGGGGGCGCAGGGAGGCAGTCAGGTGTGGCTGAAGCCTGAGGAGGTGCCACGGAGCAGGCCCCGAAGGGTGACGGACATTTGCCTGGTGGGGAGGCAGAGGCTGGGCGCCAGGCCATCATCATGACAGGGCCACTCTTGCAGGTGGTGAGAGGCTACAAGGCGACTGTCCAGCAGACCTTAGACGTCCTCTTCCTCCATGAAGGTTCTGAGTTTCTGAGCAGCACAGACGCGTCAAGTCGGGACTCCGCTGACCGCACCATCATTGCCTGGGATTTCCGCACCTCCGCCAAGATCTCCAACCAGATATTTCATGTAAGACACCTAGTTGGGCATTTCAGTTCCAGCCTCAGGGCGCGCAGTGTAGTCCTTGCCTCCCGTGGTCCCAGGTAACTTCCTGTGGAGATGGCTTAGCAGGCAGGATCTGCAGGGGTGCTTGGCTGCCAGGTAACTCGGCATCTGGGTCAGGCCCCATGAGGAGGCTCCCACGGGCCCAACATTCCCTTACTCTTCCTGTTCCTCCTTCTCCCAGCTCAGCACGTCCAGCAGGGGTGAAGGTGTGGGGGAAAAGCCCTGCTTGGAGCCATGGGGACCAGGACCAGGACCTCAAGCTCAGCCCTTCTCCCCTCCCACTGCCAGCTAGCCAGCTCAGGCATTAGGGGCTTCTGATCCTCCTTTGCTTGTGGCTTTGGCAGGTGCTGCGATGCAATACAGGAGGTCAGAGCTGAGGCCAAGAGAGAGCACCTGCATTCAAGTCCTAGATTCACCACTTACAGCTGGGTGCCTAGGCCCAGAGATCAGCCTCTTTGATTCTCATCCTCCTCATTGGTAGATTGAGGACAATAATATTAATCATCTGAAAGGGTTGTTTTGAGAATTGAAAGAGTCAATGCTTATAAAGGGTTTAGCCCAGTGCCAGGCTCAGAGAGTGCTCAATAAATGCTTTCTCCATCACTGCCACCATCACTGCCACCATCACTGCCACCACCACCACTGCCCTCACCACCACTATCACCAATACCATCACTGCCATCACTGCTGCCACTGCCGCCACCACCACCATCACCACCACCACCTCCATCACAACCATTACCACCACTATCACCACTACCACCATCACCACTACCACCACCACCACCTCCACCATCACCATCACCCTCTGCCACCACCACCACCATCACTACCACCATCACTATCACCACCATCACCACAACCATCATCACCACCGCCACTATCATCACCCTCACCTCTACCACCACCACCATCACCTCCCACTACCATCACACCACCACCACCACACATCACCATCGCCGTCACCACCATCACCTCCACTGCCATCACCACGATCACCACCATCACCACCATCACCACCACCACCTCTACCGCTGCCACCACCATCACTACCACCACGACCACCAGCACCACAGCCATCATTACTACCACCATCACCACCACCACCTCCACCGCCACCTCTACCTCTACCACCTCACCATCACCACCACCACCACCTCCACTACCATCACCACCACCACATCACCACCATCATCATTTTTTGATATTTCAGATAAGACAAGAGTAATCTCTTTGGTACTCTCACACTGAGTTTAAAGAAATACTAGCAGGTTTATATTCATGTCTCTTCTCCTCCCTGTCTTTCTCTTGGTCTTGGAGGGCTCCAGGTGACCCTGAGCAAACCCACCTTGAGGTGTTCACATGAGGTCCTAGTGCTGCCCACTGGGAAGACAGGCTGGGAGGAGACAGCAGGGCATGTCTAGCCACCTTGACTTCCTGTCTTCGAGAGCCTGGGTGGAGGCTGGGGAGAGCGAGGCAGGTGGAAGTGCTGCATGCCGAGCTATCGGCCCTCCTCGGTTATGCCTCGGCGTTCTCAGTGCTGACTGAGGAGGCTTCTGTCCATAATGGCACCAGGAACTCATCTGCCACTGCCCCTGATAGGCATGTTCATCTGCAGCGCAGTTCCCACTGCTCCCTGCTTTGCCCTTGGAGTTGGGCTCAGTTAGAGCATGTGGCTTAAGGACAACGCTGAGCACCACTGGTGTAAGGACACGTGCACTGAGGGGGTTTCTCTGTGTGGCTTTGCCACACAGGGAGGTTCCCCCTTACGTCTTGACTAGTTTGCTCACGTCTTTGTCTTCTCGTCCAGCCATCTGCCTCCTCACCCACTGTGCCTAAGACTGCTGTGACAAATCAGCACAAACTTGGTGGCTTGAAGCAACACAGATTTATTCTCTCACAGTTCTGGAGGCCAGAAGTTCAAAATCAGTCTCACTGGGCTGGAATCAAGTTGTTGGCAGGTCGCACTCCCTCCGGAGGCTCTAGGGGAGAATCCATGCCTTGTCTCTTCCCAGCTTCCAGTGGGACTGGTATTCCTTGGCTTGTGGCCACATCACTCCAAGCTTCAAGGCCAATCTCTTTAAATCTCTCGGCTCCATCTCCATATGGCTCTCTCCTCTGTGTGTCAAATCTCTCTCTGCCTCTCTCTTATAAACATCCGTGTGATTGCATTTAGGGCCTCTGGATAATCCAGGGTCATCTCACCATCTCAGGATCCTTAATTACACCTGCAAAGGCCCTTTATTTCACCATATAAATTAGCATTCACAGGTCCAGGGGTTAGGACGCAGATACCTTTTGGGGGCCATTTTCCGGTCTGCCCCAAGGGCTGGGAACTGAGGAATGCAAGGCCTGTAGAAGCTGGAAAAGGCAAGGAACGGATTTGCCCTGGAGCCTCTGGAAGGAACAGCCCCACCCTTACCTTGACATTAGCCCAGTGAGACCCATCTTGGACTTCTGACCTCCACACTGAAAGATAAACGTGTGCTGCTTTAAGCTACCACAGTTGTGGTCGTTTGGCTCAGCAGCCACAGAGGCACGTGCAGGCTGAAGCTAAGGCCCAGGCGGAAGGCAGGTTAAGGCCTCGCATGCCCAGTGCCAGGCGGGGTGTCTGTCAGTGCCACAGGTTTGCGTCTCCAACCCTCTTTGTGGTCCCGCTGCCCCTCAGGAGAGGTACACCTGCCCCAGCCTCACCTTGCACCCGCGAGAGCCAGTGTTCCTGGCGCAGACCAATGGCAACTACCTGGCCCTCTTCTCGGCCGTGTGGCCCTACCGGATGAGCAGACGGCGGCGCTATGAGGGACACAAGGTATCCCCATCCCTGTCCCCTGGGCTGAATGCCTCCCGCCTGACAGTTCCAGTAAGGACGTGGCCTGGGATACATGGACCTTCTGTGTGACCACATGTCATGGCATCCACTGGAGGCTCTGGGCCCTACCTGGCCCCACCCCAGACCCCAGTCCACTCGCATAAACAGGTCACGGGTGGGAAAGGAGGCTAGAACAGGGAGGAGGCCTGTCTCTATGTCTGTCCCCTTCCCTACTGAGGCCTGCCCCTCCAGGGTGGAGCTGGGTACTCGGGGCCTGCCCCTCCAGGGTGGAGCTGGGGACTCGGGGGCATGTCCCTCCAGGGTGGAGCTGGCGACTCTGGGGCCTGCCCCTCCAGGGTGGAGCTGGGGACTCAGGGCCTGTCTGGCCAAGGACAGGCAGCTCCACAGCTGTTCATTAGTCTCCTCAGATAACTGTGTGCAGCAGGCCCACCCCAAGGCCCTGCAGCCCCCGGAGGAGCCTGGCTTTTGGCCTGGGGGACATGGCATGTGAAGCCCAGCTCTGTCCCTTGCCTGCTCTGGGCCCTGAGTGAGCGCCTTCCCCTCTCAGGGCCTCAGCTTGCCCCTCTGGAGAATGGGCGTGATACCACCGCCTCACAGGCTTGCCTAGGGGACCGAGTGAGTTACCGGGTGCCACTCGCTCACCCCTGCCCCATGTTGCCCTCTACAGGTGGAGGGCTATGCAGTGGGCTGTGAGTGCTCTCCCGACGGGGAACTGCTGGTGACGGGCAGCGCCGACGGCCGGGTCCTGCTGTACAGCTTCCGCACGGCCCGCCGGGCACGCGTGCTACAGGGGCACACGCAGGCCTGCGTCGGCGCCACCTTCCACCCTCTGCTGCCCTCCGCCCTCGCCACCTGCTCCTGGGAAGGGGACGTGAAGGTCTGGCACTGAGCTTCCCATCGCAGGTGCTCCGAATGCCCCCGGCCCAGCTCCCCTGGTCCTCGGGGCGGGGTGGGGCACTGTGGCTGGGAGAGCCTGGGCTTTGAAGCCAGACCTGGGCAGAACTGCCTCCCCTGCTTTCTGCGCCTTGGTTTCCTCATCTGTAAAACGGGGACAGAAATCCATTTGTCTCAGGGCGTGAGGACTGATTAGTGGGAGATGCTCAATAAACATCCATGCTGTGCTGCTTCTCTGGTTGTCCCAGCCACAAGTATCTGTGGGGGGCTTCCTCGTGCCCCCTCCCGGCCCGCTGGGGCCCTGGAGACCACGAGTTCCTGGGGGGCGTGAGATGGGGCAGCCCCAGGGGCAGGGGCTCTGGGTCTCTGTTCTCCCTCAGGAACCCCGTGTCAGTGCACTGGCCTCGGGCCCAGCCTGCTTAGGCCTCCCTCGGCGGCAGCGCCCAGGCCCTCCGCACCCCTGCTTGCCCACCACCACCCACATCTGCCAGGTAAAGGAACGCTGTGGAGGGGCAAGGGTCAGTGAGGAGTGGGGCTGGGAGGAAGGCTGGATGAGGGCAGGCTGGTGAGGGCTAACCCACCAGGGCCAGGGACAGAGGGTCACCCCAAGAGCCCAGGGATCATCAACAAGTCAGGGCGGGACCACAGGTGTCACGGCTCACGAGAGTGGGTGTCCCTGTGGCCTTGACCATTTCCGGAGGACGGGGTGTTCCTGGCAGGGGTGTCAGTGGAGAGATGTGGTGGATGTGAGGAGGCCACAGCCAGGCAGAGGGCAGCCTCAGGAGGAGGTGGGAGCCTGGCTTTGCCTCCCTGGAGCCTGGGCCCCAGTCCTAGCTCTGCTGCCAGACAAGCTGGAGCTTACGTGGGTCACTGCTATCTGCAAGCCTGTTTCCTCATCTGTAAAGTGGGCGTCAGAGCCGGCCTGCAGGTGTGCTGTGAGCGTTGAAGGTCAAGTCTGTGCTGTGTAGGTGTCTGTCCAGCAGGTTCTTCAGGCCCAGGGCCTGGAGATGGGGCACCGGGACATGACTGGAAGGACTTCAGGTCCACACTCCAGCCTGGTCACCTGCTTGGCCAACCCTCTGTGACTTGGTTGCTGGCTGCAGGCTGGTGTGCAACTATATTTATTTCAGTGTGTCTCACTCTTGGCCCAGGCCCTTGAGGACCTCTGGGGTCCTTAGGGAGGGTGTTCCATCCTTGTCTGAGTGGAGGGAGGCCCGCCCTTCTCGGTCACCCTCACGTGCCTCCCCATCTCCCCACCTTCCTGCAGCCCCAGACCCTGGAGGCCGATGTCCTGCTCACCAGCCCAGTGTGCACCTCGGTGTCTCCTTCCCTGAAGTGGAGGCTCTCTGATTTTCATTCAACGCTGTGTGCTGCTACTCCCCCTGTGACTTGTCAATATTGCTGCTCAGTTAATGGGAATACTGGTTACCGACTGTCCTCAAACAGGCCCCGCTGAGTGCCGGATGGCTTGGACAGCCTCCCTGTCCCCCTGAGGCCTCTCTGTGCTGAGCACACAGCCTCTGCCCTCCGACCCCATGGGGTTTGAAGCCTGGAGCAGGCTTCAGGTCCCAGCCCCATCACCTGCTCACATGGGGCCTCAGTTTCCGCATCTGTAGAGTGGGCCTGTTGGAACACACTGGGGAGAGAATGCAGAGGAAAGGGCCTTTTAGGTTGTTACCCCTTAACTGCACTTGGGGCAGACACCACCCAAACCTCTGCCCTTGGGACCCTTTTCTTTCCAGCACTGGTGGCTGTAGGTCAGCCCTGAGTTTTGACCTTCTGGGGCACCCAGGGCTCCTCAGCCTGGCTCCTTAGGAGACCACCCCATGCCTGCTTTCTAGTGCTCCCTCCCTCTGTGGATACAATTACCCAATCAGGCCCTGGGGGTGTGTCTGTGGTGAGCCCCAACCCCCTTCTTAGGTGACTGTTGCAGAGGAATGACGGGTGTGCGCCTTGCCCCATTTCCTTTTCCAAATGCTTTCTTGCAAAGAGCACTCTTACCGACGGACTCTGACCCTCCGCTAGGTGCCAGGCAGTCCGCTTTTTGCAGTTTTAAAACAAGACAGCGACACGGGGAGATGGTGAGCCAGAACGAGAGAGACCGTGTGCCGAGGGAGGCAGTTTAGGAGGGAGCCCAGGCACAGGCAAGAGTACTGGTTTCAGGGTGGGGATCCTGTCAGCCAGGTAGGGATCCCATCAGCCACCTCCAGGGACGTCTCCGTGTCCGCTGGGTGCCAGGTACTGACGTTTCTCCCTCCTGCCCTCCTCGTTTCCTCCCAGTGCAGTGAGTGCTCCTCCCTCTGTTCTGATACGAGGAAACCGAGGCCCAGAGAGGGGAACTGACCCAGCTCCCCACAGCCTCCTTCTAGCTCAGCTTCTGGGGGCAGAGGAGGAGAAGCAGTGGCCATCTGGCCTCTTCTGTGGAAGCAGATGTGTGGAGGGCGGCTGGGGACTACTGCTGTTGCCCACCCACCTGCAGCCCGGCTGACCAGAGGCAGACTCACCCAGGAGCCACACTAAGCTGGTGGGCCGCGGGCTTCAAGATGTGAACCTGGGTTGAGGTGGTGCCCAATGGGAAGTGCCCCCCGGCACCTGGCAGGAGTAAACACTCCGCCTCTCTGGAAGAGGGGCCTCCAGCCTAGGCCCTGGGAACCGCCACAAGTAAATGCCAAGGGTGTTGTTGAGCATGTATCAGGGATAACAGGCACACAAAGGAACAAGACAGCCAGGAGTTAGAACCAAGAGAAACAGACCTACAGATTGCAGATGGTGGGAGTGTCAGACCCAGACTGTGAAACAGCTGTGCCCTCCTCCCCTGTTGGAGGAAATAAAAGGTGAGCTCGAAAATTCCCCCAGAGAATAGAAACCTATAAACTGTAGCATAGCAGATTTGTAAAGCAACCAAATAGAACTTCCAGAAGTGAAAAACTTTAATAACCAAAATTAAAAATCCAGAGGATATGTTTAGCAGCAGAATGGACACACCTGAAAAGAATTAGTGAATTGGAAGAGAAATCCTACTGACTGTGGCGTGGTGAGACACACACTGGGGTAATACAGGAGAGAGGTAACAAGTAAGGAGGATGCACTAGAGAGTTTGCCATAGGATGGATGGAAGCTCCGGAAGAAGAGGAGAGAATGGGGCAGAGAAATTCTTTAAAAAAATAATAGCTGAGTTTTTCCCAGAACTGATGAAATACCATATTTTTACACAAATAACGTGCCCTTTCTAACGTCTGTTTGCCAACCACCCCCTTCCCCCACGAGGTATTTTCATAAGTGCGCCATGCTAATTTTTTTACAGGAACATGTAAAAAATTTGCATACAGCACCTAAGAAAATACCTCGTCAGGGGAGGGTTGTTGTTGTTAGGTGCCATCGAGTTGGTTCCGACTCATAGCAACCCTGTGTACAACAGAAAGAAACACTTCCTGGTCCTGCACCATCCTCACAATCATTATGCTTGAGCCCACTGTTGCAGCCACTGTGTCAATCCATCTCGTTGAGGGTCTTCCTCTTTTTTTGATGACTCTCTACTTTACCAAGCATGATGTCCTTCTCCAGGGACTGATCCCTCCTTATAACATGTCCAAAGTATGTGAGGGAGCAGTTGGCAAACAAACATAGTAGGCTTGCATTATTTGTGTAAAAATACAGTACACCAATCCACAGATACACAACTCCCTGTGAATCCTAAAAGTATCAGCCCACACCCAGACATACCTGGGAAACTGCAGAACACCAGAGTCAAAGAGAAGATCTTATGCAGCCAGAGAAGAAAGATAGATAACCAGCAAAGGAATGGCCCCAGATCACAGCTGGTTCCCAACACCAACAGTGGAAACCAGGGGATAGTGTAGGGTCATCTCCTGCATGTAGAAGGAAAGCAGTCACCCACTGAAAGTCTGTCCCTGAGGAAATGACCTTTCAAGACTGGGGCAAAATAAGGGCATTTTCAGAGGAACAAACACCAAGTGAGCTTGTCATCAGTAGACCCACACTGAGGTTCTAAAGAATTTTCTCTAGGCAGAAGCAAAGTCTAAGATGCAAGAAACAGTGAAGAAAGAAGTAAATATGGGAGAAACATCCATGAGCGTTGTATAGATGAGCAATAGTCATGTCTAGTGGGCTAAGAAAAATTGGAGGATTCAGCATCAGACAGTAAGTTAGACGCTGGGGTAGGCCCGCAGAGAGGGTGGCCATGGGCAGGACACCAAAAACCCATCGCCATTGAGTTGATTCTGACTCATACTGACCCTATAGGACAGAGTATAACTGTCCCATAGGGTTTCCAAGACTGTAATCTTTACAGAAGCAGACTGCCACATCTTTCTCCCACAGAACAGCTGGTGGGTTTGAACTGCTAACCTTCTGGTTAGCAGCCAAGCACTTAACCACTGTGCCACCAGGGCTCCTCAGCAGGACATCAAGGACCCCATTTCCTGAAGCCACAGGCACTCGGGAGAAGAAGCCACCCAGATCCAAATGATCCCACCGGTGTCTTTTATTAACGAATGCAAAATACAGTACTCGTTGAGACACGGCATGCATTGCAGACAAGGACGCAAGCGACGGAAACCAGGGGTCGGGGCCTCGTCACGTCTGAGGTAGAGTGAGGTGGCGCGGAAAGCAGGACGATAGCAGGAGGAAGGAGCACCGGCCGCACGCGGACACTGTCCCAGCCCCACGGGGGACTGGGGACCCTGGAAGTGCTCAGGGTGGCGTGTTGGCCACGCTGTGAAAAACAGACTTTAAAAACATCTCCATATCCCCTCACTCGCTCTAGCTCCCCTTGGTGTGGACAGAGCTTCAGGGTCCCTTTGCCTCGGGCTGGCTGGGGTGTTTCCCCCTTTTGGAGTTTGGTTGCCATGGGACCCCACCCGTCCCTTCTTGAAGCAGGCCCCTGCTCGCTCGCATCCGAAAAATAAAGGAGCTTTGTGTTGGAAAAGCAAGGCTGTCGTCCAGGGGGCTGGAGGCCCAGTGTGCTAAGAAAGATCCTTTTTCTCTATAAAAATAGTTTGCTTTATAAAAGGGGGGAATGCTTATCTCAGACGGGAAGGACGTGGGTGTGTGAAAAACGTTCCAAGTGGAAGTTCCATCGTGGGGGGCTGGGGTGGGCAAGGGGGCTGGGGACAGTACCCTCCTCCTCAGGTTCTTACTGGCTAGGTGGGGAAGGAGGATGTGGGGAGGAGTGGAAGCCCTCCTCTTGGGGCTCCTTGTTGGGGGGATGGGGGAGAGGTGAGGCTGCCTCCCCTCCTGGGTACCATGTGGGCAGCGCTAGGGTGGGTGGGCCCATGATCTCGGTGTCTGGGCACAGGTGAGGCTGCCTCCCTTCTCAGGTACCACAATGGGCTGAGCTAAGGTGGGTGGGCCCATGGCCTGGGTGTCTGGGCGCAGGTGACACTGCCTTCCCTCCCCGGTACCACGTGGGCAGGGCTAGGGTGGGTGACCCCATGGCCTTGGTGTCTGGGCACAGGTGAGGCTGCTTCCCTTCTCAGGTACCACGGTGGGCAGGGCTAAGGTGGGTGGGCCCATGGCCTTGGTGTCTGGGCACAGGTAAGACTGCCTCCCTTCTCAGGTACCACAATGGGCTGGGCTAAGGTGGGCGGGCCCATGGCCTCGGTGTCTGGGTGCAGGTGAGGCTGCCTCCCCTCCCAGGTACCACGTGGGCAGGGCTGGGGTGGGCTGGGCCCATGGCCTTGGCTGGTGGCAGGCGGTCAGTTGAGCAAGGTGCCATAGAGCTGGGCTTTTGTGAGGCTGTCCTTGCGGCTCAGCCCCGAGCCACCAGTCCGAGGGAATGCCTGCTGGGGGCTGAGGAGGGCTGCAGGGCGCATCTCCGGCGAGGCCTCCATGGAGCTGGGCTCCAGGGAGTCCCGGGAGCTGTGGGCGCTGTGCTCGCTGCTGTAGCCTGGGCCATGCTCGGGCTCAGGGCTGCCGGCCGCCCCGCACAGCTGCACCCCATCTCCCTCGCTGGGCACATAGCTGGGCAGTGGGTCGGCTGAGCGGCCGGGACTCAGGCTGAGGTCGCCGCCGGCTCGAAGGAAGCAGGGCTCAGCCAGGTGGCCCTGGGAGAGGTCGTCGCCCTCTGAGAAGCTGTCTGCCTTGTAGGTGGCGTAGAGGGGGCTGGCACGGCCCTCGGCCTTCTTGCCCGGGCTGCCCCCGCTGCCGTAATAGCGTTCGGAGAAGCTGCAGGGCGAGGCTCGGCCCGCGGTGCCAGCCGGGTAGGGGTAGGCGCCGATGTCCTCCACGCTCAGGGGGCGCCACTGGCCCCGCACCTCCTCCCCGGGCAGCCGGGCAGACCCCGGTTTGGCCCGCAGGCTCCACAGGTTGGGGGGCATCAGGGCCTGCTGGGGACCCGGGGAGGCTGGGAATCGGAAGGGCTCTGTCGGGTAGGGCGACATGGTCCGCTTGAAGGCCGGGGCCACCTCGGCCTCGAGCGGGGTGGCCACCGTGGCTGTGGCCTTGGCGAAGCGGGGGCTGCCTTCGTAGGCGGCGGCGGTGGTGGGTGGCTTACGGTCGAAGAGCTCGTCGCGGCTGTTCAGGTAGATGGCCTGCTGGGAGGCAGTCAGCGTGCTGGCCTGGGCATGCTCCTTCTCCTCGGACGTGGCACTGAAGCTGGAGTAGGAGCTGGACGTGGGCAGCGAGCCCGCGTAGCTGGGGAAGGTGTCGTGCCGGAAGCCCGCGGGGAAGGCGGCGGCGGCCTCGGCCTCCTCCTCCTCCTCGGCTGCGCTGTCGGTGGAGTTCTGGGCCCGCAGGAAGCCCACGTTGGTCACGGGTGCATCCACACTGGGCCGCCGGTCACGCCGCCGCTCCTCGGGGCAGTAGAGGGCCGTGTCGCTGCAGTAGATGTCCCCCTTGTATGGAGGCCGAAGGCCTGGCTTCTCCAGCCCGTCACGGAAGGCCAGATCGTGGGCCGAGGCATCTGACAGGTGGGAGGACAGGCTGGTGGGGTCGGGCTTCTCCAGCACCTTGGCGATGACGCAGGTGGGCACGCTGTCAGCATAGGCCGGGTGGCAGAGCGGCGAGGGCAGGCTGCAGCCGTGCTTCTCCATGTGCAGGCTCACGCGCTGCTGGAAGTCCGAGGGCAGCTGCAGCAGGCAGGTGGGTGGGCAGTCAGCATGGTGGTGGGAGCACGGACTAGAGGCCCAGGCCACCAGCCGTGACAGACAGACAGGCAGGCAGGCAGACGGACGAGCGGGGACCTCCCCAGGGCTTCTCAAACCACGTAAGCTGGAGCCGGGGCCTGGGCTCTGCATTTCATAAGCTCCTGTGTCTGAGGACCCTGGTCATCTCTGCCCACCCTACCAGCCCACCCGGCCCAGCAGAGTGACAGGAGAGGCTCCTGGGAGAGGCTGGAGCCCGGGCTGAGGCGGCCCTTGCCCTTGCCCTGTTGAGGCTGCAGCCCCCCGTTCCTGCCCAGTGAGGGGCTGACCTGCTCCCCCAGCCCCACACCCCCGCCCTCCGTCATCCCGGCTGGGTACTCCCACATAAGACAGTCAGAAACAGATGCAACAAAGATTAGGGAGCCAGGCCAGGCACCCCACGGGTCCACCAGGGCCTGGTGCCTTGTGAGGGGCATGCGCTACTGTTTGATCTATTTTATGTGTCTCAGGTGGGCCCAGGCCCAGGAAGGGGGACGTGGACTGAGGCCCGGGGCAAAGAGAGGTGTGCGGGCAGACCCTGGGTCTGGCTCTGCCACGTGCTAGCTGTGGGGCCTCGGCCGGCCCTCTCATCTCTGAAACGGGCACTGTTAATACCTGTGCCCACGCCACAGGGTCACGCCCCCACGTCACAGCTCAGTGGATGGGCCTTCGGGGCAGGACAAGGAGCTGTCTCCAGGAGACTGAGGGGCCAGGAGGCCGCTGGGAGGGGCAGGACGCTGCGGTGAGGGCCAGAGGCGGTGGGCACGCTGGGGGCTGCAGGTCTCCATACCTCAGGAGGAGGGTCGTGGCCTCCCACACCCACAGGCATGAGGGAGGCGGAGGCCCCTCAGGCTCACCCGCCTTCCCCTGTGGAGTAGGGGGAGGGCCTCAGAGTGGGGCAGGGCCTGGCTGCAGGTGGGTCACGTTACCTCGGACACCTTATGGACCCTGCCGTAGGTCTGGCTGCACTGCAGCAGCTGGGCCGCTAGGTTGCAGTCCTTCCTATAGAGCTCCTAAAAGAAAGAGAAGGCGTTGGGCACACGCGGGCTCGCCCCTTGCCAAGGTCCCTGCTGCCCTGGACGGGGCACTGGTGGCTGGCAGGACAAGGACTGCCCTGCTCGCCCCCTCTCAGGCCCTCACACTCCGCCTGCCAAATGGGGGTCTGACTTGGGGCTGCTGCCCTGACAGTGCCACTGGGGGAACCTCCGCCAGGGCAGACAGTGATAGCAGCAGGGCCCCCAATGCCCCCGAACTGCTGGCGGCCCCTAGAGCTTTGGGGACCAGACGTGCCTCCCTGAGCCCCTCCAAGGAGAAGTTACTGGAAAGTGCCAGGCATGAAACAAGGGGCAAGGAAATGGGCCTGCAGCCCTGCCACCCACCCCGGGTCGCAGACTCTCAGCTCACGTCTCCCTTCTCAGAGGTGGCTGCAGGGCTGGGCAGGGCTCAGGGGCGTGGGGGAAAGGGCAGGGGGACTGTGTGACGAGGCCCAGTGGGGACGAGCTCAGCCTGCTGAGCTGAAAACAGACGCCAACAGCAGGAATCCGGGGCTCGCGTCGTCTTTGGGGATCTCTGTTACGTGTGCCTGTGGTTGGGCCTCCCATCCCTCTCCCCCAACCAAGACCCCCTCAGCGAGGCCCTGACAGCCAGCCTGGAGTCTGACAGTGGGCACTGACCCCACCCTGGGTGCCCCACATACAGAGCTCCTGGCTGAGAGCTTCGTCCGTGTCCAGCCCAGCCAGGCCCAAGCGCAGCACCTAGGCGAGGTGGTGTGAGGCACGGCACCCTGTGTTCTCCCCTACCGCGGCCTGGAGCAACCCCTGCTCCGCACTGCGGTGAGGCTGGAGGATCCTGACTTGGCCACGTCATGGAGGGGACCTGAGTCTCTGACCCTCTCCACATGCCCCAGGCCTCCTGGGAACACCCCAGTCACTGAGAGCTGAGAAATAGCACTCCACAAGGCCCCAGGCTCACTGCCGCTGGCACCCAAGGGCTGTGGGCACTTGCCTGGCCAGTACAGGTTGGCCTCTGAGCCCCCCATAGGCTACAGCCATAGGGGTGCCCCTTGGGCCAGAGGGTAATCTTGGACAGTATCTGTCACGTCCACTGCCCCTGGCTGGGCACTGTGCCCGAGGCTGCCGGTTCAGGACAGCCAGGGAGCCCTCCCTGGGGCACAGGTGCTGGCTCCAGGGAGGAGGTGCTGCGGGGACATTCCAGACAAAGGGGGCTGGCGGTGGCAGAGACTCTGGCTGCTGAGAGCCTGGTGTAGCTGAAAGGACAGGGCTCTGGAGTCAGACGGCCCCGAGTTTGAATTCTAGCTCCGCCTACGAGTGACCACCTGGGAAACCGGGCATCACAAAGCTGGCTGTGCCTCTACTTCCTCATGCACGCTATCCTTGCAGAGGCCAGGAGGACTGGTGGTGATTTGTGTCAAGGGCCTGGCCTTGTCCCCCCAGCGGCCCCCCATCTCTGGCACAGCTGTCTGCACTGGGCTCTCCAGGGCCTCCCTTCTCTGGAGCCCACCCCTCCTTTCAACTCATGCTGTCTATGTCACCAGAGCCACGTGGCCTCCCCTTCCCTGGCCTCTCGGCAGCTGTCAGCAGCTGGCCAGCTCACTCATGGAGCACCTTCCTGCATGGCTTCTGGGCCACCACACCAGCCTGGTGTCCCCTCTGTACCCCCACCCTGCTGGCCGTTCCTCCGTGTTAGCCCGAGTCTGTCCTGGGGCCTCCCTCCTCTCATCTGGCCTCCTCCCTTGGGGATCTCAACCCGTCCACGGCTTTAACCACCACCCACACACACAGTGACCTGCCCCCGAACTCCAGGCCCTGACAACTGCATGACACCTCGAGATCACGGTGACACCTGCTCCCCACCGGCACACCCTGCATCCAGGAAATGGGGGGTCGCTCCTTCCGTCCAGGCTCTGAACCCACAGGCGGGCCCGGCACACACGGCACTCACGTTGTCCTCCGACAGCTTGTCAATGGTCACCTTGGCCTCCAGCAGGTGGCTGTTAAGGGCAACAATCTCGTGGCTCAGGGCGCGCTTCTCCTCTTCATAGTGCTGGCCCTGAGGGCGGGACAGGAGGTGGTCAGCGGCCAGCCCAGCCAGCTCCTGGCAGGCCAGCCCCGCCAGAGAGGAGCTTGAGGGACTCCCAGTGCCCTGCACTGTGGTGAGACTTGGGTGTCTGTCACCCCTGGCAGGCCAGCCCCTCCAGGGAGGAGTGTGAGGGACTCCCAGCACCTTGCTTTGTGGTGGGGACTCAGGCATCTGTCTCTGTCATCCACCGTGGCAGCCCTGGGCCTTGTGGCAGGTGATACATAGTCCCCAGGGAGGCTGGTGCTGGGCCCAGTGGTTCACTTAGGCCCCTGTGTGCCCTTCTGTAGCCGTGACAGTGAAGTGCTTGCGGGCCAAGGGATACAGGGGTTAAGAGCCCGGATAACCCAGGTTCAAAACCTGGCTCTACCACTGACAAGTCGGATAAACTTGGGCACGTCACTTCCTCCCTAAGCCTCAGTTTCTTCATCTGTAAAACGGGGACAGTAACGTCCTGCCTCATGAGAGTTTGGGTGATGACTGAGTGAGGAAAGCTTGCACTCAGCACTGAGCCTGGCCGCCCGCCACTTCCTGTGTGAGCCAGGGTATTACTATTGTTACTGTAACTGTGGGTTCTCCCCACTGCAGGCCCGGGCAGAGCCTCCTCCTTCTGGAAGCCTGCCCTGATGCCCTGGGCTCTGGCAGCCCTGAGCTCACTCTCCCCTCCTGGGTCCTGGCACTTACAAAGGTCGGCCTGCATGTCAGCCGCCCCCACCTCCCTAGGCACCCCCAGGCTGTGTGCTCCAGCGGGACCAGGTCCGGGGCCAGGGGCTGGGGGTGGAGGAGGCCCTGAGGAGCCTCCATCCTCCCATCAGCTCCTGCCCTGGAAGCCCAGCCCCTTACCAGCCAGGAAAGCCTGCAGGCAGCGCCTGTGCCCAGCCCAGGCTGCCCGTCCTCCCCTGTGGTGAGTGGATACCTGGCAATGAGCCCTGCCTCACTCCCAGGCTGGTTCTTTCCTGCTTGTCCTTGTATAATAATAAACCCCTTGTCACTGAGTCAATGCTGACTCATGGTGACCCATCCCACGTGTTACAGAGTAGCTCCATGGGGTTTCCTTGGCTGTGATCTTTACAGAAGCAGATCGCCAGGCCTTTCTTCCATAGTGCCAGTGGGTGGGTTCGAACTGCCAACTCTTAGGTTAGTAGTCAAGCACAAACCATTTGCACCACCCAGGGACCTTTGCATAGTAATAAAAACCAAAAACCAAACCCACTGCTGTCGAGTCACTTCCAACTCAGAGCAACCCTACAGGATGGAGTAGAACCGCCCCATAGGATTTCCAAGGAGCAGCTGGTGGATTCGAACTGCCAACCTTTGGCTGTTAACAACTATGCCACCAGGGTTTCCTGCACAGTACTATTTCTGTACCCAAGAAAAGACTACATTTCCCAGCATCCTCTGCTGCCAGGGTAGACATGTGACTAAGTTTGGCCAATGGGATGTGAGCTGAAGTGCTGTGTCTGTTTGCAGGTTGTGCCCTTAAAGGGCAGAGGAGAGTTCTCCATTCCCAACTGCTTCCTGTGGCTGGAACGTGGGCGTGGAGCAAGCCGCCCTGGAGCATTGGTCTCCTGAGCCCCCAGCAGCGCCACTGCACCAGCCTGGACTGCCACATGGAAGACGTCTATGCTGTTTACATCACTGTTACATGGAGTGGACTCAAAACCTGACCCATACAAGACGCTGTGGAATTCTGTTGCCCCAGGGGCAGCAGATGAGTGGGTGATGGTGTCAGAAGCTGAGCCTCCCAGACCAGCCTCACCCTTGTGCTGTGGGGTGGAGGGTGGCTGCCAGAGGAAATGCCACCCAGGCGGACCCCCACCTTACGTCCTCCATGGAGATAGGTGATTCCTTCCTGCATTCTGCCATCTCACTCAACAGGTTGGGAAACTGAGGCTCAGAAAGGGAAGGGCCCTTTCCCAGGGTCCCAGGCAGAGCCAGACCCAGACCCAGGACTGCGGGCCCACCCCTGGATGACACCCTGAAGAAAAGGTGGGGGTCAAACACCGTTCCTGGTTTTCAAAGACAAGGAAACTGTAACCAAACTAGAAAGGGCCCCCTGATGTGAATGAAGGGGCACCTCCAGAGCCTCCCCCCAGCCTTCCTGGCAATGCCCACACCACTGCTTCCATTCCTCCACACGCAGGTCTTGTGGCCCCCTAAAAAGAAAGCAGGGCAGTGGTCCCAGCGTTGTCTGCAGAGCCTCCCTGCACCCTACCCCCCGCCCCATGGGGTCAGCGTGGTGCTGTCTTATTCTTCTTCACGGTAAGGGGGGGGGGTACCATGAGAGGCTCAGGCCTCGGACCCCACGGCCCCTCTGGTCCCCAGGCCGGGTCTCCTACAGGCCCGCTTGTACGCCTCCCTGGCTGGGGTGCTCGCGCCCTGCTGCTGACTTCTCTTCCTGAGGGGGACTCAGCTCTGGGCCCACCTCCCGTTCCCTGGAGGTGTCAGACTAGACCTGCAGATGCAGCTATCCGAGGGGCAGGGGAGAGCCCAGGCCCAGGCAGGCCCAGGCTGGGCTGCACGCTCCCCACCGGGTGTAGGGTGGGGCGGGGGTGGCAGGTGGCGGCCCTCACCATGCGGTACAGCTTATCCTCCAGCTCCTGGTTGATCCTCTGCAGGGCCAGATAGTTGCTCTGAATCCTGCAACAGGAGGCCATGGGTCACTGTGGTGCAAGCCTGACACCCCTGATACCCCTGTGGGGGAGCCTCCTGAGCCTGCCCTCCCCCCACACACCATGCTCCTCTAAGCTCACTTGGGCAAGGCCTTCCCGGGCCAGGGTCAGAGACTGCATCGTCCCTCTCCCCTGTGACCTCCTGGAGACCCTCACTCATAGCCAGTCTACCCCCCTGGTACGCATAGTTCTTACAGGCCTGCCTGCGGGTGTGGAGGTGCAATGGCAGGTTAGCAGGGAAGAGGTGCAAAGCTGGCTACGTGATGAGCGCTGTAAGTTACTCCCCTAGAGGGGGAGAAGGTGGGGGCAAGCTTCAGGTGGAGTGCTTCCGCTTCTGCTACATAGAAAGCATGATGGCAGTAGGAAGCGTGGGGACAGCGTCGGGTCGCTCAACAGCCTGTGTGTAGGGTTACTGCCCCATCTTGGCAATAGGGAAACTGAGGCTAGAGGTGCTTAAAGCAGGAAGTGGCAGAGCCTGAACCCTAACCGAGCCCAAGCTTTGTTCTCACTTGACAGTGACATTCAAAAAGCCCAGCGGGCTGGGCCATTCAGAGAAAGGCCAACAAAACCAAAACCAAACCCACAGCCATCGAGCTGATTCCAACTCTTAGCAACCCTACAGGACAGAGTGGAACTGCCCCACACGGTTTCCAAGGCTGTCATCTCTACGGAAGCAGACTGCCACAGCTTCCTCCTATGGAGTGGCTAGTGGGTTCGATCCTTTGACCTTTCAGTTAGCAGCCAAGCGCTTAACCACTGTAACACCAGGGCTCCTTGAAGTGCCAACAGCCCAAGGCAAATGCCTCAGGGAGGCAGCGGCTGGGGCCTGTGAGCTGCAGATGTTTAAAACAGAGCCAGCAGCAAAGGCTGCCTGTGTTCATGCCAAAGGCCGGAAACTGGGTGGTAAGTTTTAGAATATCCCCCTTAAATGTGCAGGGGGAAAATGGTCTTAGAAAAGTTTAGTTTTTAAGGGACTAATTGCTCAGCCTGCAGTACACCTCGTGCGACGCGTCACTAGCCCCCACGCTACCCAAGGGAACGGTCCCTAAACACTTGGACTGTTAACACTATTAAAAAACGCTGTGGATATTAGATCTCCGGGGCTGGACAGCCGCTCTTCCCATCAGGGACCCCGGGACAATGGGAAAAACAGCCAGACCCGTGTTCAAATCCTAGCTCTGTTGCTCTTGGCACTAAGTGGGCCTTTGGAGGAGTGTGCCTCCCCGAGCCTTGGACTCCTAACGGACAACAGCTCGGGTGGGAAGCCAAGC